TTGGGCCGGGGGGGTGGGGGGGGGGGGGGGGGGGGGGGGGGGGGGGGGGGGGTGAGAGGAGAGAGGGAGAGAGAGAGATTGGCTAGAGAATATGCCTGCTCTCTCATTACTGCCCAAGGTTATGGTCATGAATTAAGGCTTGAGGTTAGTGTTCTGGTTGGTGTTCTTGCTGCCCGGCCTGCCTGTGACTTTAAAGCTCCAATAAGATGAAACCCAGTTGATAATCAAGTTACTCATCGTGCCTGTGAGGCACCTGGTGGGAAGCCTTGCTGATGTGCGGGTCGGACTGTGGTGCATTGCAGCACAGGAAGGCCTGGTGCCCAGCGCGTGGTGCCAGCTGCTGCGGGGCACAGGAGGGCACGCCCGGCGGCCACGGCTGCAGGGCTGCCCCCGGGAGCAGGGCATCTGTGCTGGCCCAGGGGAAGCACAGGGCCAGGGGAACTAGGATTTCTAAAGCGCAGAAACGGCCAGTTTGGCAAAAAGAGTAGGACATGAGGCTCTGAGTCACTCCCTGTCGCTGCCCAGTGGTCTGTGTGAAATGCAGCTCCGCCTGAGCAGCCGCGCAGAGCTGGGGCCAGCCTGAAACCCGAGCCGCTTCCTGGCTGGCTGTGGCCGTGAGCCTGGCCGTGGCTCTGGACACTCCTCACAAGGCGACGAGCTCCCTGATGCCAGGCCCTTCGCTGTCATCCCTTCCTCCCGGGCCTGCCCACTTCAGAGAAGGAATCGGTGCATTTCTGTGGCGTGAACCGGGCCTGCGGTTCCAGGCCGAGGAATTTGGACTTGACCCTGGACCAGAGCACTGAAGGTCACCTTCCAGGGCTAGTTCCCGTGGAGCACTTACTAGTAAGGCGGGTGGGAGACATACACTCTGCTCAGAGCACGGAATTTGGAGCCCTTAGTTCAGCAAAGGCTGTGATAAACGGGGACCCGGGGGCACTGGAGCGTGCACTGCGCACCGAGCTGGCGTTTCCTGTGCGGACTGGTCACTGCAGCCACACGCCAGGCCCTGCTGCCGGCGCGGTTTGGCTGGACCTGAAAAGTCAGAGGTGCTGGCCAGGCTGTTTCCAAACCAGAAATAACTCCTCGGCCTCAGCGCCCCGAGCCCACACTCCTCCGGCTGGGGCATCCGTCATCACGCGAGGCAGGAGGCTGGCTGCTGCGGGAGGTGCTGTCAGGGCAGGGAATGTGGTGGCTGTGTTCGCAGGGAGGATGGAGAGGCCTGCTGGGCAGTGTGGGCGCTCACTGCGGGGAGCAGGCTAGGGCCTCGCAGGCTGTGTGCACAGCCAGTGGGCGCTGGGGCTCCCGGCCTTCCTCCCTTTCCCACTGAGGCTCTCAGCGAGGCTGCTGCGCCTACTGAACCCCCGGGGCCTGGAGGGCTGGGGCCAGGCAGGGAGATGGGAAGAGAAGCAACCACTGCTGGGCCCTGGTTGTGTGCTCGGTTGCTATGGTCCCAGGCACTGAAAGGGTGCCCGTTAGATGCCCAGTTCGGGCACGTGCCTGGGTCGCAGGTTCCATCCCCGGTAAGGGGCTTGCAGGAGGCAGCCGGTCAATCCCCCCCCCCCCCCCCCCCCATGCAGGTCCTGGGCAAACACTGATCAGCCTTCTGTCACTATAGCTTAATTTTTGCCTGTTTTAGAACTTCAAATAAATGAAATCATGCTCTGAGTACTCTCATGTATGGTTTCTTGTGCTCAGCATGTTTTTAAGATTCATTCATGTTGTGTGTAAGGTTAATTTGTTCTTTTTTATTGCTGAATAGTATTCCACCAGTGAAATATGGCATCACATCCTTTCAGCATGCAGTGAGCCATTTATTTTAGACCCATTCTTGTTCATTGACTAGTCAGGGGAAGGTAATGTCTACTTTCCTACAAAGTTGAAAGGTTCATTACGCTTCTCAGTTTCTCATGACTGCTATTGGAAACGCTAGCTCTTACTTCCTCCCTCCTCCCTGATGACTTGGCAGAAATACAAATCCAGTCGCAGATGCGACATGCAGGCTTTGGGGATGACCTCGTCGGAGCAGTGAGAGAGTGAGTGAGGAGGCCAGGAGAGACCTCAGGGGAGGGTGGGGGTCCAGGATGAGCTGGGCCACTTCCATTTTATTTTTTGTTGGACCCTGTGTGACCTGTTTCACACACGTCCCTCCTGGAGTGGAGTCGAGTTCTTCTGCATCCCATTCCTAGCTTCCGACTCACGGGAGGCGAGCACTGTGTCCCTGTTTACAGGGGCTTTGTCTGTCGTTGCCAAACTGGAGCCCATGGCAGTGAACTTCAGGCGGAGGGTGGGCGACAAGCAGGGGCGTCCACACAGCTCAGTCCACCCGTGTCTCCTCGTGGTCACTCAGGGTTTGCTAGTTCGGCAGGAACGTCCGAGGATTTTCTTCCTGCTGCATCGTATGTAGAGGCACCTGGTGTCTCTCTAACTTGGTCTGTGGCTCGGGAGCGCTGCCAAGTTCTCTGCTTTAAGATCACCTTCTCCCTTGGGAACTGGTGAGGAATGTGTGTGGGTGGGGGTGGGGGGGGGATGCTGTGGGAGACTGTGCATAGCTTTCTCCACTAGTCTGCCCTCCACCATGATTCTTGCCGTGAAGACTGGCAAATAGTGACTTTTTAAACCCGCCCCTCCTTCTTTATAGGGGGCCTTATCTTGGAAGGAGCCGCGTCCCCCTCGTCCACCGTGTGCTGGTGCATATCTGGGCCTCACGGGCTGTGTGAGGCGATGGCTTACGGTGACTCTAGAACGGTCCCAGAGGTGGCCGCGCCCTGTGCAGCTGGCGTGTCCCTGGAGTAGGTCCGCACTGCCCTTGACACACGCTTGCATGTCGGGGGCTCGGGTGCACTCCCAGCCCCGGCCCCTCAGCAGTCACTTTCCACGGAGCCCTGGCTCCTGGGAGGGAGAACCTGGGAGGGAGAAGGGCGCTTGGAAACCACGCTCGGGCGCTCATGAGCTTCCTGCTTTTCACTGGAAACGCTGAGCTCCCGGGACGTCCGTCATCCTCCTCAAAGCCCGATGGTTATCTCCCGGGGACTGACTCATAAGGACTCGGAAACGTGTGAATGAACTATTGATGCCCCGCCTCTGCCAGTGGCCTTTGTCCTGTGGATGATGGAAACCTGGGTGACTCAGTGGTTGAATAGACCCGAGTGAGGTCAGAGCAGTCCTGCCCAGGGGGAGTTTGGGCCAAGAAAAACACTGGGCTCTGGATGTGAGGATATAGACTCTGCCAAGTCCCAGTCACCCTAAGTTTCCATGGCGCCCTTCTCAGCGTCGAGGTGTCGGACGCACATAGAGTTATAAGCCGGCGACTTCCTTTCGGGCGAGAATAGTGTTGCTGTTTTCCTGTGGCCCAGGCTCTGCACTGTGATTCGTAAGTTGTGGCTGTTTTGATCAATGAAATGGAACTTATTAGTATTTCCTCATAGACTGCGTAGATGTTACTTATAACTGGAGGTTTTGTGACTCGCCTTGCGATGGAAGGGCACCTTCATTTAAAGAAAAGGAAACGACTTCGTAACTTTGAGCTAGTGTGCTTCAACTCTTTAGAGTTCTAAATACTCAAGGAAAGAAAAACTTCTCCAACTGTTCATCCAAAATCTCGCTTCAGACTGGCTTGTGCATAGCGTCAAGTTTAAGATTTCACATTGTGTCGATGATCAGTTATAGAGAAACTGGATACAGGATGGAATCATCAATGTATGTGTGAAAGCAGGAAGTATTTTGAAATGAATGGAATTTATACATACCCTTGGTTAGTCAAATTGCAGTTACTCTAAGCTTAGTTAGAAGTTGAATTTAAAAGATTGTAAGCTTTCTGTCTTTATCATTAATTTTTGTTGTATACGGAGGGAGATATTTTCCTTTAGCTAACATTCTTTAATATTAACTATAATTTTAAAATGTTTCCTATCTAGTGACTAGTTTTATAGTTAGCCCCCTCGGCCCCCCAACACTCACACTCCTGTGAGGACTGGCCTTTCAGTTGAGGCCTGACCGTCACTGTAGGCCTTGTCGTTGGACGTACAGGACCTGGGTGGCCGTTGATAGAATATGACGCCGGGGGGCGTGTCGGGGACGGGCATGTCAGGCATGAGCGCGATCGCAGGATCTTCCTGAATTTTCTTCCCGTCGTGGAGAGGGGCCCATCAGGCCTGAGGGAGGAGAGAGAAGCTCACCTTGTCTGCCAGGGTCTGCTGAGCACGTGACGGGGACGGTGACACTTGGTGGTGGGTAGACAGAACTTGTGCTAAGCAACTGGCAGATGTGAGGGTGTGGCTATCGTAATGGGTTCCTTTTTAAAAACAATATATTTTATTGATCTCAGAGAGGAAGGGAGAGAGAGACAGAAACATCAGTGATGAGAGAGAATCATGGATCTGCTGCCTCCTGCACTGCCCCTCACTGGGGATTGAGCCCACAACCGGGCATGTGCCCTGAGCGGGAATGGAACCGTGACCTCCTGGTTCATAGGTTGACCCTCCACCACTGAGTCACACCGGCCAGGCTTAATGGCTCCTTTTGCAGCGTTCGGTCGGCCTCTGATGTTGCTGATGAGCACGGTGAGTGGTGATGTCCGCACTGACATCTCGTCTTTGCCTTCGCAGAGCTCTGACGGTCCTCTTCCTTCGGACGATGGATGAGCAGTCGCAAGGCCTGCAGGGGCCGCCTGTCCCCCAGTTCCAGCCCCAGGTAAGGGCTTCACGACGAGCACCCCTCTGTCCTTAAGACGCGCACTGACAGGTCCTTGAGGAACTAAAGCGGCCCGTCGCTACCGAGGAATGGCCAGGTGTTGTCGGAATTGTGTGCGTTTTCCTGGCCGTCGAATACTTAGTTCTCAGGGACAAACATTGAGGAAGGTCGCAGCGTTGGCTTTTACGGTCTCCCTCCCTCGGCGGCTTGGTCACTGTGCGCCTCCATCTGCTCCGGCTCCTGAGACCTGCCCAGCCTTCAGAGAGCACCTCACCCGCGTCTGTCCGTGGAGAGCACCCCTTCCCACTGTGACCTCACTTCTTGGACCCTGACGGCACCTTCTCTGTGTCTCTCCTGGCGTTGCCGGCGCCTGCATGTCGTGTCCTGTGGGCGTGTTCCTGTCCCTCCTGTTGGGTGGAGAAGGGTCCTTGTTCCCGTGGAGGCCCCGATCTCGTGTGGAGCAGGGGCTGCGTGGACGGGGCCGGGAGCTGGTGAGGAAGGCCTGGCTGCGCTGGTGGGGGCACGAATGATGATGAGGCGATACAGACACCAGCGACGTCTAAGTGTGTCGCTGGATAACTGCTTGTCCTTGGTCACTCCTTGTTCCTGGGCCGCAGTGACCTTCCTCTGTGTTGGATGGAAAGCGGCTGGTCATGGTTAATGGCGCCCTGTCCCCACTGGGCTGAATCTCCAGTACTTTGTGTCTGGGAACAGGTTACTTTTAAAATACTCCAGGAGATTTCAGGGAGATAACTTTCCAGTGGGAAGAAGCGTGGTTAGGTGACGTTGTTAGCATACGTGGCGCTGGTGTGTGCATGTGTGCGCTGTTGCTCTTTGGTTCACAGTGAGGTTTGTAGAAAGTACATGGCAGAGCTGGGCCAGATGTGGTCACAGCACATTCTAACTGGTGTCGCTTGGAGGTGAGTCATATCTCTTTCAAGATCATAGAATGAGTTTTATTGGCATAAAATGGAAGGGCATTTTGTTACTTTTAAATTCTGTTAACATTCAACAACATTAATGTCAAATAGAAAGCAATGTGTTAGTTTGCGTAAACGGTCATATGAAAACCACCCGTAAGAGACGATGGCAGTAACAACGAAAACCTTATTAATGATGCTAAACACAATGAGCGCTGGCTGGTGTCTTCGATCATTGATAACAGTCCCTCTGGGACTTCCCGGGACATGAGGTTCTCCCTGGGGAGCCCGCGGAGTCCACGCTGCGACTCGTTTAATTTCCCCAGAGAGCCATCATCATCATGTTACCCTGAATTACCCATTGCTTAGTGAACGTCTTCGCTTCCAATTGTGAGCAAATTAATTAATTGAGTCCTACCGATCATCAGTTGTTCCGAGAGGCTGCGCCTGGGAGGCAGCCGGGGTGCGGCGGAGTGGGTTTTATTTGAGAGAGAAGAGCACGCTGTGCAGGAGGCGGCGAGCAGACCGCCAGGTACCAGTTGATCCCACTGAGTTGGCAGACCTGGTGTCGTGTGATTCGCTCGGAGAACGTGTCCTTCCCTCGGGGGGGCTGGTTGCTGATTGTCCTGCGCAATTTTGAATAGTTGTCTCGTGTCTGAGATTTCAGGATGCTTTTCCAATATGACCTGTTCGTATGTGGATGCAGATCTCTTGAGATTAAACATAATTTACCCCCGAAATGGAACAAATGCTCCCCAAATCAGTTCCAGTTATGCCCTTGAGGTTAGGAGTTGTAGGGGGTCTCAGGTCCTCAAGAAATAAAATCACATGAAAAACAACGTATTGGCCGCGTGGTCCCTGCGCATTGGTTATGGTTTGAGACTTCCTCCCAAAAGGAACCCGTTTGAAAGTCGCCGTGTGGGGGATGGTCTCTCTGCAGTGAGTTAGACACTGGGCTGGACCAGCCCTGGCTCAGGGGCAGGCAATGGTCTCTCTGCAGTGAGTTAGGAGACACTGGGCTGGACCAGCCCTGGCTCAGGGGCAGGCGTGTCCGACCCCGGGAGCCTGGGAGGGGGGCCATGTGTCCTCTCGTTTGCTTGGATCTTAACTCCTCAGTCCGTTCCAGCCAGGCGCCCACGTGCCATCCACGTGGCTTCATGTGGGATGCTCGCCCCTCCCCCGTGAGCGTGAGAGGCTTTGGCGGAATAACCCTGGTTAGATGCCCCGCGTTAGCTCCCAGCCGCCGACCAGGCGGCGTCTTCATCCCTGAGTCAGGAGCTGGTCCGCAGGGAAGCGGGGTCTCCCGCTGGAGGCAGAGTCCCGGCCGGGGATCCTTAGGCCTCCTGGTCCGTGAGCTGTTGGCATAGGGAGACGGGGGAACAGGTGGGGGGAGCAGGTGGAGGCAGACCCTTCGGGGCCCAGAGGGAGGGCCTGCGGGAAGGTGGAGGTGGCAGCTAAGCACTGTGATCTTGAAGCCAGAGGACCCGGAGGAGTTGTGTACAGCACGAGGGCCAGGGGGAGGGTGTCCCTGCGGGCGCCGTGGGGAGGGCACAGCCGTAACGGGTGCTGAGCCTGGCTCCGTCCTGGGCGCTTGCACGCACCACCCACTCGACAGCCCCGGGAGCCTCCCGCTCACAGAAGTGGGGAACAGCTCCGAGGGTCCTGGGCGTCAGGGCTGGGCTCTGATCCCCCCATTCCAGAGCCCGGCCTTGTCTCGGGCGGTGGGGACTCCATGGAGCAGTTTTATTCCCAGGATAACTCCGTGCTCCACCACACAGTGGAGGATTGGGCATCATGCAAAGGAGAGACCATGGCTTTTCTAAAAATAACTCTTCCTCGAGTGGCCTCCCCTGCGACACCAGCTTTTGTTTGAGGACGGACAGCGCTGCCTGCAGTGGGCAAGCCCATCCAGCGACGTGGGCGCTGGGGACGGTCGGGGTTCACGACCGGGGTGTGGGGTCACCTGGAGGAGCCTCCTGACAAGCCTGTGCTATGCAGACTGCAGGGCGGTGGGACTGTGCCAGCCCCGTCTGTGCTGGGGACAGGACGGGGTGGGGAGAGGGCTGTCACTCAGCCCCGCTGCCCTTTGAAGAGGGGCCGAGGGGGAGGCGCCGCAAATGGGCTGTGAAGTTGACCCGCGGCCCCTGCCCAGCAGATGACGTGTAATGAAGTGTCTAATGCGCAGGCCGCTCAGCCTGATCCTGGGTGGCAGCCCGTCCCTCAGCTGCCAAGCTCGCCCCCTCCGGCCTCGCTGCCACCCCGCCGGCCGCCCCGGCTTAATAAGCCCAGACAGTGTGCGATCTGACATGCAAATGTAGGTCATTGCATATGTAAATGCGTGATTACAGGCCTGCATGCCAGAGCACATTAGTGAGCCGGCCCAGCGGCGGCTGTCACGGCGCCTCGGCGGGTCACGCTCACGCCTGTCAGTCACCAGCGCGGGGCGGTGCTGCCGGTGACGCTGCACCTGCTGGCGGCCAGGTTCGCCCTGGAGGCCGAGGGCCTGTCCCCACGGAAGAGGCAGGAGCCCTAGTTCTCAGACGCTGTAGGCTCCTTAGAGACCCACGCATTCCTGAGAAAGGCACAGGTGGTGACGAAGCCCCTCCTCTTGAAGTAATACTTTCCTTTAAAGTTGAGAAACTGAACAGGCTGCCCATGGCCATGGCGTCGTCGGGGAAGCGGCGCTTTGTGAGTTTGCTCCGTTCCACGGGCACCGCTCTCTCCCAGGGACGTGGTGCGGGATTCCAGCTTCCTCGTTACGGTGGTGTGTGTGCTCAGCCTCAGTTCTAACACGCGTGTCTGCCCAGCTCTGTGTTCTCATCGGGACTGGAGATGGACACTCTGTAACTGTGGATTCTCTCGGGGGGTCCGCAGGGCTGGGCCACAGTGCGGGCTTTGCTCAGCCGTGGGAGACGCAGAGACTGGCGTGGAAGGCAGGACACAGGCGGGGCTTGTGACGCCGACATGGCAGGAATGTCAGGGGAACGACGTAGGTGTCCGTCTGTGCGGCTCCCTCCTGGCCCCCCTGCCCCCCCGCCGGAGGGCACGGCCTGGGCAAGAGCGGGAGCTGGGCTGTGGAGTGAATGGTGTCTCAGCTCACACAGGCCACCTGCTGGTGTGACAGCAGCCATGGGTGTGCGCATCGTGTGGCTGACACCTCTCTGATCTTTCCTTGCAGAAGGCCTTGCGGCCGGATATGGGCTACAACACGCTGGCCAACTTTCGGATAGAGAAGAAGATCGGCCGCGGGCAGTTCAGTGAGGTGTACCGGGCGGCCTGCCTGCTGGACGGCGTCCCGGTGGCTCTGAAGAAGGTGCAGGTGAGCTGGCTCCCGTCCTGTTCGGCATGGATGGCCCCGTGGGGTGTGGCTTGGGCCCCGCTGCCGTGTCCCTCACACGAAGGCATTCCCTCCGTTACCTGCGGACGGGCTGTGGGCTCAATGCCACAAACAGTGTCTCACTGATATTTGCCCCCCACGGCCCTTCCATCCTGTCCCGTCCTGAAAGCCTAGAGTTGACACCTCCCGGGGGCCGAGAGGGCGGGCGTCGGACTCACGGAGAAAAGGGAGTCACTCTTCTGCGCACGGACGGCACCTCGTCCTTTTCCGTGACTTGAATGAAGTGGGAGGGGCCTGCGCCACCCGTGTGTCTCTCCTTGTAAGCCGTTACCTAGGATACGAGCCGATGCGTATTTTCCAGGTCTTAGTAACACGCGTGTTAGTACCGGCTGCCCGTGGAGGGAAAATGGAGGCTCCAGTGCTAACGTCCAGTGAAATACCTACAGATCCGACAGCCCTACAGGCTGATCGGAAAGACACATGCTCAGTGTGTACAGTTATATGTATAAAAATCATAAGGAGTGGGTGTGGCAGGTAGCTTGGACCTAGGTTATTCATGTCCGTAATTCTGGACTCTGCTTTTAGATATTTGACTTAATGGACGCCAAAGCCCGTGCCGACTGCATCAAAGAAATAGACCTGCTCAAGGTACGTGACCGACCGCCAGCTGTATGTTCTCCACCCGTGGGGTTACGTCCACGTTGGGAAATGAGTCTATTTTGAAGGAGGCCCTGTGGCCAAGATAAGGCAGCCTCGGGCCGGGCTCTGGCCTCCCGGCTGGGGGAGCCCCACGCCGGCAGCCCCCGTATTCTCCATCCACCTCACAGCTCTTAGAGGCACCCAGTGGGGCCGACTCAGCCGCCTGTGGGGAGCACAGCTGCCCATGCCGATAAGTAACTTACTAAATGTTCCACTCACAAGCAAAAGGATCGTCAGATTAGAGGCCACTCTCATTTCAAAGAATATATACGTTTGAATCTCAGTGTATTGAAGAGTCTAGTTACCTTTGGGAATCGTTGTGAAATAATGTAACTGGAACATTGGGTAGGATTCGCTTTTCCCCCCTCATTTCAAACTAGGAAGTAGATAAAGGCAGTGTTTAAGTACAATATAACAAATGACAGTTGTTAAAATTCTTTAATTTTTTTGTTTGTTTTGTCTTTTAACCACTGGACGTAGCTATGCTAGGGTCAGCCCAAACCTCAAAACAGGAGTAAAAAGGAGAAGGTGACACCGTTGACGCCCTGCAATGGTGGAGCTCAGTTTGAAGGGAATAATTGTTAGCAGCTGATGGCTCCATCATGTCATTCACTTGTAGGCGTGGATAGATCGTTGGACAGAATATACTTTTTAAAACTTGAAGTGCCTGGTATTCTCTATTATTTCTAATAAAGAAGATTAAAGTAAAATTAATTTATACCCAGCTTTACTTTCAATTATTACACTTGCTTTAAAATTCACAAGATTAAAGAAAAGTACACTGTCATGTGAAGTTTCTGTAACTTAAAGATGAAACGCAGTAGCTAAGTGCATTCTTAAGCTATGAAACTATTGGGAATTTTCAAGAAGAAACCTTTTTCTTGCCTGTTTTTTTTCCGTAGCAACTCAACCATCCCAACGTGATTAAATATTATGCGTCATTCATTGAAGATAACGAACTCAACATAGTTTTGGAATTAGCCGATGCTGGTGACCTATCCAGGATGATAAAGGTAAGGTTTGCTCTTACTGCTCGGTTGTCCGTTGGACGCACAGGTATGTCAGGTGCTTTACACGGACCTGGCAGCTGTGGAATGCACGGCATGCCCCGCGGTCATGGCTGTGGTGGGAGCTGGCTCACCCGGCGAAGGTCACGCCGGGACTTGGTGTGTGAACGCTCCGAGGCCCACCTGCAGGGAACAGACGCAGAGCCTTGTCGCTGGGACTGGAGCTGGAGCCTGCGGCTGGGCTCCTCCGAGGGCCACCGCGTCCCTGGTCCCTGCCCTCAGCTGGGGGGGCAGAGAGAGGCTGTCTAGCAGCCCGACCTTTCCGGGCGACTCATCGGAGAGGAGCGTGGGTATGCGTTCAGACCCTGCACATCAAACCCGACTTGGCCACTTAGCAGTGACTTCACTTACTTTTCAGCAGGAGTATTACTAGGGTCAAAGTTCAGCTACAAGCCATAGAAACCCCCAAATCACAGTAGATTGGTGTTTGTCAAGAGCTTAGCACAGGGCCTCACACACAGCAAGGACGTGTTGCCTAAGTGCGGCCACTGCTATGTGATCATGGTTACGTGTGATTCTTTGTTCCATAAAACTCTGGGGCTGATGCGATTCCCAGAGCCCAGGCCTGTCTCCAGCTGACGTCACCCTCCCCGCCTAAGGGTCAGGGCGCCTGCTGCTGCTCCTTTCAGCTCCGTCCCGCTGGCCCGAGTCCAGGCGTGAACGCGTCTAGCTGCAAGGGAGGCTGGGATGTCTGTCTGCGTGTGGCTGGCCGCGTGCTCGGTGGAAAATCAATGAGAACCAACCAGATGAGAAAAGGAGGCTATTTATTCTGATCTGACAGCAGGAGTCAGTGCCACGGAGGGCGCGGCAGAGGTCACGGGGGCGGGAGTGGGAGTCTTTCCGGAGGGCGGCGGGCGGCCGGGTCCAGGCCGTCGGAGCTGATGGAAGCCGGCGCCTCATGTGACAGGCCTTTCCCTGGTTGGCCCTGAGGTGGGAGCAGCGACAGACACTGGAAATGCTGCCAGTTGCTAAGTAAGCCCTGGCCATGAGGCGCCGGCTGTGGCCGAGGCTGTGCAGCCGCCTGGATGGCCCGGGCGGTGGCCCTGGTCCCTGCAGGTCTGCCCCAGCGGCTGCTCCCTGGGTGTTTGCTGGAGAGAGAGGTGGGTTCCTGGTCGGGCTGTGGAAGGCTCAGCCTGTTGTTCCTTGTCTGGCCGTGGTCTGGGTGAATGTCCGTGTCAGCGGATCCGGGGCCTGGCAGGGATCCACCCAGGGGCCCCGGGGAGAAGGGTCAAAGGCAGCGCCCGTATGCGGACGTCAGCGCGCCCCGGCCTCTCGGGGGGCTGGCTCTTCTCGAAGAGGAGTCTCAGCTCTGCCTCTGACGGGTCTGGCGGATGCACAGCCTCGTGTTCCCTTGACTGGGGCTCGGAGGCCGTGTCCCAGGACCCCCTGGAAGTCGGGGGACAGCCTGCGGTTTGCATTCCATGCCAGAGCCGCCCAGGGTCCCGGGCGAGGCGTGGGCAGACCTGGCGTAGCTGCGGGCCTGCTCGGGGGTGAGGCCAGCTCGGCCCTCCTGGCTTGGCACCCTCTCGGGGTCAGTGCCCCGTCGAGGGGCAGGCGGTCTGAGCTGCTCTCGGAACCCCGACGGCCTGCAGGAATGAAGGTGATGCTCCCGCTATCAGGATGCCATCGCGCTGACTCGGCCTGAGGCCCGTGGTGAGTGACTCACCCGGGCGCTTATCTGATTTTCGGTTTCAGGGACTTCCCACCCAGCACAAGCAGCCCGCCCTGGCTGGCTAACCAGCAGCAGCAATGCGGACGCACGGGCGCAGGACTGTACACAGCAGCCGTCCGTGTGAGATGGGCGGAGAGACAGGACTGATGTGCTATCTGTGCGCCAGCCTTGGCACAGGGCCGATCCCGGGGGGTGGTGCCAGGGGGTCCTTGATGGGCAAACACCTGCTGACGGCCGGAAGGACAGACCGTCCCGCGGGAGACCTGCCCGGTGGGCGAGGGGGGGTTTGACCGTCGCTGAGTTTCTTTGCTCAGTTTCTTCGGGCTCCGGCTCGTGGACCCGGGCCCTGGACGGGCCTGCTCGTCCTGCTCCGGCATCCGTGCCGACGTCTCAGCCACACGCACTGGAGTGTTGGTCTGTTTGGTTCCGTTCCCACTCACGTCCTTTCCCAGGGAGACCTTTCCACCCAGACAGTCTTCTGCTCCTGCTCTTGGAACCGGCTCCTTTCACGGCACTCAGCATCGCGGCCTTAGCAACTCGGCCTTAGCATCACACACAGCCTTAGCGACGCAGCCTTAGCAACACGGCCTTAGCATCGCAGCCTTAGCGACTCGGCCTTAGCATCGTGGCCTTAGCAACACGGCCTTAGCATCGCAGCCTTAGCATCACACACAGCCTTAGCATCGCAGCCTTAGCGACTCGGCCTTAGCATCGTGGCCTTAGCATCGCAGCCTTAGAGACGCGGCCTTAGCATCGCGGCCTTAGCATCGCAGCCGCTAGTGCACTGGTCGCCTTTCCGTGGTGACTGTTCCATTGAGGCCCAGTTTCCCCGGGGCGTGGGGCTCACCGAGTGCAGGGCCGGTCGCTTGCTCACCAGGTCGTGTGGGCCGTGCCTGGCTGGTGGCGGGTGTGCGTGCAGGTCGCCTGTTTCACGCCTGTCAGCGCTTCTCCAGGGCCCGGGCTGGGCACGTGGCTGTGGGACATGGCAGGTTCCGCTGACTCACGCTCTGCCCCCACCGGCGCTGGCGGGAAAGGACGGGCCCCGAGAGCTTCCCCGAGTGTTTCTGACCCTCGTCGGGGCCGTGAGCTGGTCTCCATGGGAGAGGCGAGGGTGACGTGACAGTGTTTGATGGGGCCGCGCGGAGGCTGGAGCGTGAGGGTCGCGGTCACCCCGCAGCGGGGAGAGCGGGGAGAGTTGTAAATCATGTGCATCCGGAATGGCCGTGTCCCAGGCTCAGCCTAATTGGGGGGAAGAGGAAATATCGCTCCCGGTCTGATTCCAGAGCGAACCCGGCGGCCTCGCATCAAAGACCCTGCGATGAATAATTAACGGCGGAGCGGCCGACAGGTGGCATTCGCGTGTGTAGCGGAGACGCTCCGTGTTCCTCTAATGAGGCCGCGGACGCCCGAGGCTGTGGTCAGATGCAGCTTCAGGATGAGGTTCAGGATGAAAGGAAGCCCGGCTTTCTCATCGCCCGTTTCTCTGTCACCGGCGATCACAGCTTTAAAGGCAGGTGGACTCGTGCGGCAGATTCCAGCTCAGCCAGTGGTGTGTGCTGGGAACTCTCCGTGGTGTGCGCTGGGCTGGACCGACTCGTGTTCCAGGGGCCACGTGCCCGTCACTCACTCCTCAGTGTCACACCCGCACTCGGGGGAGGGCCTCACACGCAGGCGATGGGCCCAGCTCAGAGCTGGACCGGCCGGAGCTCGTGTGGGCCCAGCCGGGGCAGCTGCTGGGGGAGTAGCGCCCCCTGCGGCGCCCTCTGTGCCGCGTGAGATGCCATCACCTGAGGCTGCTGCTTTCCTGGCCACAGAGGCTCAGCCAGGGGAGGCGCTTTACCCCGGGCGGGCGTGGGGATTGGGGGTGAGGGCGGAGACTTCTGTTACCACAGACTCTGAAAAATTAGCTGAAGTGCCAACAGCGTTTGGAGAGAACGATGACCCGCAAACATCATAACTTACGACTCCTGCTCGCCTTCTCCGTGGCGGGTTCTCACTCCTGGTCTGGAAGGAAATCGTGTGTAGAAGAGACTTTGCAGCCTGGTCTCTCAGAGTGAAAACATGTTGACAACAGTCCCCGACTGAAAACATGATACGGAGGTTTTGAACTTCTTAGTAATGCCCTGACTAGCTGTGTAATCGCCTGGTCATGCAATTGTTATGCGTTTTTAGCTACTGATATAATAGCCATTGAAGTTGCTGATAAGTTCATTGCCACAGTGTGTGTTACAGTAACGATTAACCTCACGTTACGAGCTACAGATACTGTTACACAGCAAACCAAGTGCAGTTTTGTTTGTGGATGGGTATATTTCTCATGTGTTCCTCCAGCAAGTGTCACGTGGGAGAACGGACAGGCACCTGGACCTGTGGTTTGCAGTTCATTTCATGGGTGCCCCCCCCCCCCCCCCCCCCCCAGCGATTGGTGCTCAGCGTTGGCCCCGCCTTCCATCCTTTTTTTTCACTGAGTTTAGTTTCATTCATTCCAAGGGAACTGCAAGTCTGACGTGTAATGTGCAATAGAAATATTTATGGAAACTTTCAACCCCACCCCTTTAATGTTTAATAGTCAAAGTCGGATTTCAATCACAAGGTGCGTCAACATTTATTTAAAAGGCTCTGCAGTGAGACCTCTGTCACACGAGAATTTCTGTTAATGAACATCCTCACCTTCGGTTTCTCGACTCTTTTATTCTGGCTTTTCCTCAAGTGGAACCCGATGACTTCCTTTGAGGAGGAGAATCAGTTTGTGCAGAAGCTATTGTTTGAATAGGTGGACAGCGCCAGGGCAGGGGCCGGCTGTGCTGGCATAGCTGTGTGTGTGTGTGTGGGGGCGGGGGTGTCGCTGAGCCGCGATGTCGGGTAAAACCCTGGGACACCCCCCCCCCCCCCGGGCGGCCCCACGGCTTTGCGTGGGCCTGAGGGAGGGGAACAGTCAGAGTCCGGCCGGAGGTCTTGAGCTCATCCTCCTGCCCTCCTCCCTCAGCACTTTAAGAAGCAGAAGCGGCTGATCCCGGAGAGGACGGTGTGGAAGTACTTCGTGCAGCTGTGCAGCGCCCTGGAGCACATGCACTCCCGCCGCGTCATGCACCGAGGTAGGCGCCCCGACCCCGGACGCCCGTCCATTCAGGAGCCAGTGCGTCCGGCCCGGCACAGGGGCTGCTCCCGCAGGAGCCTGCCTGCCAGTCACCGTTCCCTGGGACCAGGCGCCCTTAAGGGAGGCCCGACCGGGGATAGTTCTTCTCTGCAGCTCTTCTGAGCATCGTGCGGATTCGGGGGGTGAAGGAAGCAAGGCGGGTGCAGGGGAGCGAATAAAGGGGGGGCCTCCCCCGATGCACCGAGTCTGTGAGGCTGCTTAGGGTTCACAGGTGCAGCGCTGGCTCTCAGCGTCTTGGCTGGGAGTCCGATGGGTGGTAACGGGAAGCTTCCATCACTAAAGAATCGGCCCCTTGGTTTGGGGGCGTGAGAAATGTCAGTGATACACATCTGAGCTAAGGTTTCTAGGCCTCTATGTCAGTTATATGCACAGAGCGTTGTGATTTTATATTTTACGTAAATATGTCAGCAAATAGAGATTTTATTTAAAATTGACGTGAAAGGGACACATTTATTTATGCTTTGTATTTCACAAGGGTTTACTTGAAAAGGGGGAAAATGTGTTTTAAATGAAAATTATTCGTGACCTGAATCATGCTGCTTTCATTATTATTTGTCTCAGAGGACTGAGGACACAGAAATAGAAGGATATATAAAAGCTACTCAAAATAAAGCAGTCGGTTCACAATTCAAACAGACTGACTTTTTAGGATGCACTTTAAATTGTACCAGGAAATGTGACTTTTGATCCTTGAAAGCAGCTACGATGGCCTCACCTCTCCCGACGCCTGCATTTGTCCGCAGATATCAAACCGGCCAACGTGTTCATCACGGCCACGGGCGTGGTCAAGCTCGGGGACCTGGGCCTCGGCCGCTTCTTCAGCTCCAAGACCACCGCGGCGCACTCCTTAGGTGAGCGGCCAGGGAGGTCTGGCCAGGGGCAGCCCCTCCCGGGGGTGGGGTGGGGGGACTCGCCAGGCGGCCGCCCACACGCGGCTCCTCCTTCTAAGCAGACTGGTGACGGCTCCACCTGCGGGTCCTGGGTGGACCCCCACGCCCTGCAGTCTCGCGGCTCTTGGTCAAGGAGTCAGTGAGCAGACTCGGTTTAGCTGTCGCCATGGAACCCTCCTTTTCTTTACATTATTCTCCCTGACAGAGAATATGTGTTGTTCCTTAACCTTCACGAATGAAGAGTGTGATGACCTGTGAGTGACCTAACAGCGTAACGCGTGTGGACGTGTTGTCCGAACACCAGCGTGTGCGTGCAGATGTGTGGCCGCTGTGCAGCGTGACGGTCGTGGTGGTACCAGGCATGCGGCCTGACAAGACTGCCCTTGTCTTCCTGGGTCGCACGCTTGCTGGGACGTTTCACGTTTATTTTTCTTGTCTGATCGCTGTGGCTGCGACTTCTATGCTCTGAGGAAAGGAGGCAAAGGGGCATCCTTGTCTGGTCTCTGGTCTTGGAGGAGGAGCTGTCAGCCTCTCACTGCGGAGGGTGCTAGGAGCTGCGGGCCTGTCGGGTGCGATGGCCTCTGTGATGTTGAGGCGCGTTTCCTTTATACCCACTTTGTTGAGAGTTTTTGCCAGAAATTGGTGTTGAGTTTTGTCAAATGTTTGGGGTTTTTTTGGCATCTATTAAAGTGCTTCTATGGATTTTAATCTCGTGTTTTGTTGATGTGGTGTGTCAAGTTGTGGATATTAAAACATCCTTACAGCCCTGGAATAAATCCCACTTGGTCATGATTATGATTTTTAGGTGTATTTCCGAGTTTATTAGCTGATTCTTCGTTGAAGATTTTTGCATCTGTTTTTCAGGAATCGGGGCCTATATGTGTGTCTGTATTTTCCTGTCTTTCTCTGGTTTTGGTGTCAGGGTAATGCTGGCCTCATAGAACGAGTTTGGAAGCATTCATTTATCTGTAATTTTTGGGAATAATTTGAAGGACACTTAATTCTTCTTTAAATGTTTGGTAGAATTCACGTGTGAAGTGATCTGGACTTGATGTCTTGTTTGTTGGGAGTTTTTATTTTTATTTTATTACTGGTTTAATTTCATTATGAGTCTCCTCAGATTTTCTTCATGAGTTCATCTTGGGAGATTGTACGTATCGAGGAGTTTATTCATTTCTCTTAGATTGTCCTTATGTTGGCGTATAATTGTTCACGGTAACCTCTTATGACCCTTTGTGCTTCTGTGGTACCAGGTGTGAGTTCTCCTGTTTCATTTCTGACTTTCTTTATTTTGGCCTTCTCTCTCTCTCTCTCTCTCTCTCGGCAAGTCTGGCTAAAGGTTTATCAATCTTGCTTTTCTTTTCAAAGAACCAGCTCTTATTTCCATTGACGTTTTCATGTGTTTTGGTCTCTAATCTGTTTCCTCTTTGATCTTCACACTTTTCTTTCTTCTACTAACTTTGGGCCTTTGCTGGCTCCCCTGGATGTAGGTTGGGTGCTCGTTGGAGAGTTTTCTGTGTCCTGAGGTAAGGCCTGCATCGCGATGTGCTTCCTCTTAGAACTGCTCTGCTTTGGACCAAAGATTTAATGCTGCGCTCTCATTGGTCTCAGGCATATTCTGGTTTCCTCTTCATTCTCTGCTCAGTCCCCCCGTGTTTGCGTGTCTCCCGTTTTCTTGTCGGTGATCTCGTTGTATGCCATGGTGGTCGGGACAGATCAGCCTCTGACGCCTGCCTTTAGATTCACCGCGAGTGGCTCTGTGCCCTCCAGGCGGTGTCCTGGGGTGTCCCGTGTGCACTTGGAAGGCACGTGTGTTCTGGTGCTGTGGAGGGTGTGTCGCACGTCAGTTCTGTCCATCGGCCTGTTGTGTTGTTGGGCCATTGTCTCCCATGGATCTTCTGTCCGGACGTCTGTCCACTGGGAAGCGGCTCTGAAAGTCCTGCTGTCCCTTCCCCTTTTCGTTAGTGTTTGCTTTGTAGACGTTGGGGCCTTCTATGCTGGGCGCACAGATACCTACAGATGTCACCCCCCCCCCATGGCAGTGGCCCCTGTATTGCCTGTGCTGTACTGTTATTTTTTAAGGGAGAAAATAACACAAATTCTGTAAACAAGTCCTTCTCTGTCGTCACTGTTAGTTTATTATGAGTTCTTGTGTATTAAGTGAAAATGTGTATTTCATTCTCGGGGCTTTCTTAGTACCAGTCCTGCTTCTGAGTGGCTCCCTCCCCTCAGTGGACTGGAATACAGAGGAGATGAGAGGTGATTCTAACGAAACTTACATAGGAATCTAACCTGCTGTAAGTCCGCCGAAGGGGCGCGTGCGTCACTGGAGACAGACGGCCCCGCCCGCCCTGCCCTGTTCTGGTCCAGCTGTCCCAAGAAGGCCCAGCGTGCTCGGGCCGTGGCGGTGACAGACACAGCTGCCATGCGTCTAGGGAAAGGGTCTGGGAAGGACTGTATGTCCATTCAGTTTGACGTGTGGGAATGTATTTCGATTTCCTGGGCGTTGAGGCTTCTCGGCCTCTGCCAGGCGGCGAGAGGGAAGGACGGACCCGGGTCGGAGAGGAGGCCCAGCTCCCCGCCCCCCCGAGAGCCCCGGCCGCACGCAGGCGCACTCGGTAGCAGAGGGCGCGTGGGACCCCCGGCCTGTGTCCGGCAGTTCACTTTGAATTCAGTCAGTGACTGTGACCTTCCTCCCCCTTCTCCCAGAGGGGACTGGACATGTGTCCCTCAGGAGGTGAGTAGCCCACGTGGATTTACACCTGAACACATATCTGAGATGTGTGTCACCTAAATGTTAAGATAAAGCATACATATTTTGTAAAAAATACGTTTCATACATGCTTACCTCTCATGTTGACGGTTGTTGTGATGGCATGATCTGAAACGGCCATAAGGAAGAGAAAGAGGCGTTAGCACGTCAACAAACCAAAGTCACCGGGAGCCCCCAGTGTCCACAAGTCTCCGTGGCGACCCCGGCAGTTCTCAGGGCCCGGCCTCTCACAGGCGTGGCCCAGCCCCTCGATGTCC